TATATAGCCATCTTTCCAGGATATGGAACGATTCGTTGCAATACCTGATATTCTGACAGCCACTCGTTCTTCAAATTATGCACGCTTTGGACGAGAACTTGGACGATTTCCGCGCATTCGATCACTCGTTTTAAAGGCTTCTTCTTTTCCTAAAAACCAAACATGGATGGAAAAGCATGAATGATCTTACGATTAATGGACGTATCGTGTAGCTGCTCGTCGTACTCCTGCAGTACGCCAAGATGAAGCTGTGGATGGCAAGGAGGAAGTCGTGACGAGCCGATTCGCGGTCGGTCTGAATTATAAAGATATCGCATTTTTAGTTAGGTCCAGATACAAGGAAGATTCGTAGATAAGTTTTAATGGATTACAGCACCTAAATTCAATTCTTTTGAATTCCGGCTTTGCAAAAATTTCATTTACAATGCCGATTTTCAAGGCTTTCAAAACATCACTTTTTGAGATCAAATTAGCTACAACAATTTAAATTAAAATTAAAATTTTGCAGAGCCCTTTTAAATAATAAAATAGTATAATATACCTTTTCCGCCGTCAAATATCGTCTCAGGGTGTTGTGCAGCGTGCCGGGCTCGATTCGACTCAACAGTTTGCACAGTTCCTCTACACGTTTCCGGACGCCGTTTGCCGAGTTTGCCACTAAAAGTGTTAATGTTTCTTGTAAAAAAAATGGAAAAAGCATACTTAAAGGCTGAAATTTTAAAAGGGAAATCTAAGAGCATTTGAAGCTAATTGTCGAAGCAATTCCGCTTACGAAAAAATCGGGAGAGCTCTGGAAAATTTGTTAAAATTAAAATCAGGAAAAAAGTATTGTGGAAAATGCTGGAAACCTTTTTAGGATTGCCTCAAATATACAAATTTAAATGCCAACCTGACAACGCGTGAACATCTCCAGCCTTGCTGTCAAAGTCCTCCATGTTGTCCTTCAACTGGGCGAGCTTCTGCTCGACATCATCCTTATCCAAGATCGTCGGCGATGCCAGACTCATCCTAAAAATTCATCAAGTGCAAAAATAGCCTAAAGCCGCGGAGAATGCGCCCAAAAAGCCGTGAAAAATGCGAAAATAGCCAAGAAGCACAAATGGGAAAAATGGCCCGAAATTTATGGACAGGGTGAGTGCAAACCTGATTGTCTTTTTTGGTGTTCGTCTGAAAACCAAGGGGTAGTGGGTTAGTGAAAAATGCTTAAAAGTAGGGCATAAAAATGAAGAAACTGAAAGACAGGCTAAAGGTATCTGTAAATTATAGAAAATGCGAGGTAAAGACACGGCAAAAACCTTACTTGTTTGCCCGAACATCGGCATAGGTATACGGGCGCTCATCGGTTGGCAGACGATCGGCTGGGATTTTTCGACCAATCTGTAAGGTATCATTTTATACTTATTTCGGCCTTTTCAACTTTAGATTATGTTTTTTATTTTAATTGACCGATACGTACAAAATCGTGCTACGCAGAATATGTACTTAGTACGTAAAATACGTAAACTAAACGGCGCATTAATGAAGGTACAGTTTTTGACTTTTTGCTTGCATTAAAGCTAACAGATTCTATTGTTAAAATAAGCTCCAAACGTCTGTTAAAAATATACAAAAATCCATCACCTACCTCCAACTTGACGTCCTTGTCCATCAGCAGACACTTTCCGACAAAAATATTCTGGCCGATCAGCTCTTGCTCGGGGAGAAATTCGTCGAGCCCGTATTCCTAAAAATTCAGCGTAAGAAAGAAACTCTCGCTTTCCTCTCGCTCGCTCTCTCTCCCTCTCTCTCTCTCTCTCTCTCTCTCTCTCTCACTCCCTCTCACCTTCAATCCATATGCCTCCGTCGGCACTCCATCAGCGAGCTGGCTCTCATCCAGAAGCGCGGACAGTGTTTCGGCAAGGAATAACCCGACCGTCTTGTCCGTCTCCACAGTCTGTGTCAATTTCCGCAAGCCACCGGTTGGCCACCTGAATTTAATTCTAGTTTGATTCCGAAAAATCATACTTACGTGTGGTCTTTCTCGATCGTCACTTTACGCTCTTCACATTCGTCGTCATGTATTCTACCGTAGCCGACGAGAAAAATTGGGAACAATCTGCGGTGCGACCGAATCTTTTGACGAGACGTTCGAGCTGGAAGTTTAAGGGTTCACTATATGGAAGTTAATGATAATTTAAATACCCTTCACTACCCGGATACTATTAAAAAGATTTGAATCTACTTTGAAGATCGGGTAGTAACACGTGTAGTTTAATAATAGTAAGAAAAAATTTCGAACCTGTGCCTCCACATCTGGTTTCTTCTCAATAATCTGGAACCTGTCGATCGATAGCTTTTCGGGAGTCTGGGTTTTGAGGGCTGGATAGATGGCTGAGGCCGGCCTTAAAAAATGATAATGATATAGACACAATATATAATTGTAATGGTATATAAAATGAAGTGATATTGGTTGATAAAAAATCACCTCCTTGGTGTCACCGCTTCATAATCATCTTTGCTGGTACCCGCGCCTTCCGATCGTCGCGTTGGGGTTGTGACTAAAAAAACACCGTTCCGACGTAGTAAAAGTGACAGTATAATTCCTTGGTATTTTTAAGGTCCATATACCCTAATTATACACTTGCGTTACATATTATATACTATTTTTAACATATATAGTCCGTCCATTGCTTACTGTAAACCCAGTCGTCATTTAGGAAACAACTGTAGTCTAGGCTTGGGAATAGGTACGGCTCACGTTCGATTAGCATTTTGTGTACGCAATTTTGGGTTCATTCCTGGAATCGGCGCACCAATGATATAAATAGAAAAATAGTTATAGAAAGGAGCGGAAATAAATGAACTTTAAAAGTTTAAATAGGAAGGAGTTTTTAATTAAAAACATGAGAATGAAAATCGGGACCAGAAAAATTGAAATCTCGGGGAAATTAGCTGGAATTACTTGAAATAAATCTTAATCAATTTCTAGGCAAAATTAGCTTTATTATGATTAAAAATAGAGGTATATCTAATAGAGACTTCCGATGCTTAAATGAAAATAAATCGTCAAAACTTCAAAAAAAATCGAAACTTGGATTAGGAAGGTTGAATGGACAAGGATAGGGATTATCGCCTCCCGCCTTTTCAAAGGATGGGAAAGGCTAAACTGAAACTGATTCCCAATAGAAACATACTAGAAAAACACACCCCACCCAAAAAGCCGTAAATATATTAGTCAGACGTTCTGGGCTAGGGCAAGAAGCCGTTTTTAGGCTGTTTGGCTAGCCCTTATCAGCCTTGGGCCTGCTAAAACTCGTAAGAAAATTGAGGGTGGCTGATAATATAGCACGAGGGAATATTTTGACCATGAATACTTTTTAGACAATAAATTGACGGGTGTGTTTCTGAAGTCTAAAAATTGCGAAAACCGAGCGCTAGGGAATAGTTAGACATTTAAATAACGTTGAAATCAATAAAACGGTTTTTTTGTTTTGAATGTGTTTTCGAGGTCTGGAAATTACGAAAAACGCTAGAGTATTCAGGACAAACTCGCTAGATAAATTTTAATCGATAATCACGTAAAAATCGATTTTTCAAACGGAGTTATAGTTTATCAAGGGGTACTGTATAACGCGTATTTTTGCATAAGATACACAAATTCATTTTTTTGACTTTCTGCTAGTTTTCACTTTTTTTGTACTTTTAATTTGTACAACCGAATTGAATTTTGCAAAATTAACTGAGTATCCGGTTATCTGAATTTCGGCGACAAAAACTTCTTAAAAAAGAAACAATGACCGACTTACCGTAATCATTGTGCAGGCTGTTGGTCTTGCTGAGGATGGCGGGCGGCATGGATGGGGCAATGTCCCCGGGTGGCGGCTCATAAAGCACGTCGAAATCGCGGCGGATCTGAAAAATAATTATAAAACGAGGAAAAAATAATTAAAAACGCTGCATAAAATCCATTTTTTCACCATAACAAATAACAAAAATTAAAATGAAGAATTAAAAAAATTAAAATCTCGAAATGAAATTTTAATGGTCGTAATGATATTCTAGGGATCTTTAAAAATCGTCATTTGAATAGATTCCAAATCTATGCAGGTTTCTAAATCCATTTAACCGCCCTAACAAGTTTGTGAAAATTTATAATCTAGTTCTAAGAAACCGCAACCTAAAAAAATTCTAGGATCCCGAAAAAATCGATAGCGCGCCTCAGCCGGGCCCGGGCGCGCGCAAATTGGATCAACGGTGATTGGCTTTGAGAGGTTGGAGGGTTTAAAAATATGGCAAAAACGAAGAATTCAAGGGCAGAAGGAAAGGATAATTAGGGTCAAAGGGATAGGCTGGTTGGATCCGGGCCAGGATATTGCACTTTGGACCTGTCTCTAAGGGCCCCACCACAGCCAAACGGCCATTAGGGTGAGGGCCAGTTTACGGGTGTACGCAAGGTGCACTTTTTTGTATCGTTAAGTTTCCGGAGGAACTATATATGCTAAAGTGGTTAGGTCGGGAATTACGGAAAAATCACCTGAACGAAGCCTTTATCATAGGAATCGGTTTGTGTTTTTTCCAACGATTAGACGAATTATGCCACAGATTTAGAGGTACAAAATATATAAACAAAAAACCCAGCGGAAAACACATATTTAACAAAATTTAAATAACATGCTCCTTAGCTTTTCTATTGATGAATTTTATGAAAGTACGAAACGACCACTTTTCTGGCTAATAAAAACGGTACTACTCTCCTGAATAGCCAGAGGCAGCAGCCAGGACCTATAGACATAGCCTAGATTTGAATGGATGTCTTGAAACATGCACTAATGGCAAAAATCGGGGGTGTAAAATCGGAAATCCCGCCGTCAGCTGCCCTCGAAAACCCGGGGCTCCCCAACCTCTTATCACCCCTCTCCCACCCTCCCCACCCATCTGGGGGTATAGCTCAGTGGTAGAGCGCTCGCTTAGCATGCGAGAGGTCTGGGGTTCAATTCCCCATACCTCCAAAAGCTTTTTGCTTTTCGGGAAACGATATCGGAATTCATTTCTAGAATTCTTAGATAGCTTTTTAAGTTTAGTTTTAGGAAAAACAATAAGGCAGCCAACGAGCCGAAACTGAATATTTTGGAAGAGTTAATTTTTAGGGATTGAGGCTCAGTTTTTAGGCTCAAAACCTTTGGAAAAGCCGTAACGAAGTAAAATAACACGAACAGACGCACAAACCGCGTTGTCTGTCGGTTTGTGGCCGGGCCGGATTTCGGAAAAGTGATAGCGGAGATCTCGACCCGGGCGTTCCTCCCGCCTTGGGGAGCCCCCGAGACAGGTGACCGCCAGCCGGGAACCCTTTTTTCGGAGGGGGATAAGCACAAAAGAGCTGCTTGCGCCAACGGGGGTTGAACCGCCGTGTAGGCTTTAGTGAAATGGGGGATTAAAAGGGAAGAACTCATTCAAATATTTGAATGAATTTCTGATCGCTAAATTCAGATTTTAAAGGGACGCGGAAGGCAAAAACTGTTTAGTAATACGACAGCTCACAGAAGTTTTTTTGACCGAATGTCTCGTATAGTGAGTGGTAATTATGATGCGTACGCAGTCAAGAACGTACTGCTTTGCTGGAAACCTCCGTTTTTCCAAAAATTGGAAGCAGGCTAAAGCTGAAGCTTTTGCAGCCGAAATCGATCTCTTTTCAGGGGCTTGTGAGTCACCGCTTGTGTTGCAAGTTACAACAGAAATTAATTACGAATAAGTGTTAGTCCAAGTGAGTAAGCTTCATTAATCTGATCTGAACTTGCCTAGAAGCGCTAAAAAATGCAAAAACGTTGACTTTACCTAACGTATCAAAGAGTAAAAAATGGTTAATTAGAAAAGCACTATTTGATAGTTCTTAGAAAAGATCGCTGTACAAGCCGTATTTAAAAAAAGATTTAGTAAGGT